TATCGAGATACATTCAAAGCAACAGCACAAACTCGGCTATTTATCCGAGTTCAAACAGGTCGGCTTGCGACTTGAAGCGTAGTGTTGTTGAGTGAAAAAAAATTGCTCTATTGGGAATTGTTTATGGGAAAATATTGAGATAAATTTTGGTTTTCTTATATATATATGTATATGATTAAAATTTTAAATAACTATATAAGTATATTACGAAAATACCTCGAAATATTACTCATTTTCATTATGAGTTGATGGACAATTCCGGTTAATTACTCATTTTCATTCGTTTTTGTTATAAATACCAGATACCAACAGCGTTGCTTAAAAAGCTAAAATGAAATTTTACCCGAGTTGAGCGTTTTTTTGCCGCTCATTTACAAAGAAATGCAGCTAATATTGTCCTACAAATGGAGGGGAAGGGAAAATGGTAGAAGTACATTTGTAGGTTTGCCATTGCTTAGCGTAATTTTGTAAAAACAAGGTGATGCATGGGCAACACTATTTAGGTTCTAACACAAAGCCCGAACAATGCAAGCCACATATTTATGTGGACAGAATTATCTTTGAGTCTAAATTTACCGACAGTTGAATCGCGTCTAGTTACTCGACACTTTCGTTCACCCAAAGTCCACTTCACTGTTTTTACTTTCAATTCAACTCTTACTTTTTAATTATGCATTGCCATCGCAACTAGTTTAGCAACTCTAATTGATAAAAACAAATCAAAAGCACACTTTGCGCTGCAAGTTAAAAAGATTTAAATATCCTTTGCAGCAATCACCGAGCCACACTTCCTACAACTAGCTAATAGTCGTTTGACAGGCAAATAGCAACGTACATACATACTAACAACTACTCATGCAACACCATAAAAAAACAACATTAAACGAAGAAACAAGAAAAAAGATAATAAAAAACTAAAAACAATTTTGTTTAATTTTGCATCAATCTGGTTTTGCGGGTTCTTTACCATAAAATTTTGCGCTCGCAGCGCCTGATTCATTGCTTTGCAGCCGAACGATAATCGATACAAAAGTCATAAAGCAAAAAAAAGTGAGTTAATAAATAAAATGAAAATAAAAGTCTTCGTTGTATGGCACCGGTTTTTTTTTGAAAAGAAACTGTTAATACTTCGTGCGAGATCTGCGTTTATGGCCAACCAAACGACCAACTTGTTTCGAGAGTTTTTTATGTCATATTCGATTGTTTTTTTTTTCTTTTTCTATTTACATATTGATTGTTGGTAATATATTATCTATTTTTTCATAAGTATAGACCTGTTAATGACTTCTTTGATGCTAGAAGCAGAAAGTGAAATTAAAAGTAAAATTGTACGAATTTGATCAAAATTTCTTAGTTTAGTACATTATTTGAAATATTCACTTATGTATGTCGGTAAAAAATTGAATTGCTTCAAAAATGGCGGTCATAACATTTTCCACTTCTAGGTTACGTAATAAATATTCTAAAATTTTAATTCTTTTGATGAAAAAATAATTGTGAAATTCGCATTTCTTTTCTTGTTCGTCTCCATTTCTAGACAAAGCAGCGGTTGATTTTGTTTTTTCTTGCGCATGCGTGTGTACGCCCACTCAACCGCAAATACTTACTCTACCATGAAAGAATAACAAGCAGACAAAACAAATACATAAATATATGCATCTGTGCGTAAGTAGTTTATTAGTCCCTTTCATTCGTCATATTCGAGTATATACATTAGAGCGTACCACCTTACAAGCACACAAAAAAAAAACAACGTTCACCGCACACCTCTTAGTCTAAAGTTTTTGCAAGGACATTTCTTTTGCCGAACATTTTTTGGTGGTACCTACACTCGGCAATCAAATTTTTTTTAATTAGTTCTACTGGAATAACTAAACAAAATCCTCAACTATTTTTGGTTAGCTTTAATTTACTGGCATTAGGGTGGTAGGAACTGAGACTGGTGGGTAAGTAATAGAACGGGATACTTGAGGGCAATTAACTTTGAAAGCAAAAATGTTTCTCCTTGAGACAAAAACATCGCTACATCATACTTTAAGGTCCGACTTTAAAAGCCGAAAACATGACAAATATTATAAAAGGGCAGCTCCTACATTCGACCAAAAAATAAAAAAATTTTTTTTCGAAAATGCGTTGCAAAAATATAGTAAACTTTTTTCCGGTACGGTCTAATGTACACATACAAATGTATGTATAATTGTTTTGCCATTTTTATTACAAAATTTAATATACTTAAGTATTTTTCTCACAAAAAAATTTGTTATGTTGTAATTTCAAGTTTACTACTGTGTGAATTGTAGTGGAAACTATTCGTGCAAAAAGCTGCAACACCACATATACTAAGTGTGTAGATTTTTATGCTATTAACCAACTAATTTGCGCTTCCGTCTTCAAAACGATTTCACAGCAAAAAAATAATAATTTTTAATGTGAACTAATTTATCCAGTTTGTTTTAAAGTTCTATGCTCAAGAAACAATGTTCTGCTTAATTGAAGCATTAATGAATTTGTTACACGCATAACTTTTGTATAAATATTTATACAAAATACACGTGCTTAAGTAAAAAATGAGAATTTCATAAGCTATTCGTGTGTCAAATTATTAGAATGCAAAGTTTTTTAAGTAAACTTAAACATAGCGAACTTCTGTATAAATTGTTCGAAAGCAAAAAAAGTAAAGGTATTTTGAGTGTAGAGTTCCCTCCTATTAAGAATTCGCTTGTGTAGTCGATCAAGGATAAGTTCAATAAAAATAACTTAATAGTAAAAACATATATTTTTAAAGCAAACTTGAACGAAATCGGACTATAAATACTGGTTTACCAAATATCTCGACCCCTGCGCCATCTATCGGATTAACTCATCTTTCGTATTGCATTGCCATCGGATTCTGAGCCAACTGTGAAGTTTCAAGTATCTCTTGGACATCGGGAAGTTGGTCAAAAGTTAATAGCAAAATTTGCCCCAAACAAACATACTTATGTACATACATATATACATACCGGGCAAGTTAAATAAAAGCTTGTAAAAATGTTTGTATTGCCATACTAATGCATGTACCTGCAAGTCAAGGTTATCATAGATACTACTTTTATCTTGGGAACCCCTTTACTTTCATTGATCCTTGTAGTAAGTATATTTCCATTTTGATACTGGTTATGAGTTTTTGGCTAACAAAACGACCAGCGCAAGCTTTCTTATGAATGAAAAAGAAAATGTTAATGATAACCGAGATGGCAAATCTAATAAATACTAGATTAGCAGGGTGCAAAAACTGGTACGAGACTTGTCATTCAAAACATGCAGGGACTCTGTTCTCATACAAAATTTTATAGAATTTTTGAAATGGCTACGAATGACGCTGAATAGTTGGATCTCGAATATCCTTTTGAGCCTAGAAAATTGCTCCCCGCTAAGAGAAAACCGATTGTCCTAAGCCAAGAGTGAAATTACCATCGGTGCCGAAAAGACTACGTCAAAGTTTTGGACTTAGGTACTTTCAAAAGAATTAGAAGAAAAATTTGATCAAGAAGGTAAACAACGGAAATAATAATTTCACAAAAATTATAAAAAAAGAAAAAAAATTTATACAAAAGTGTTCCTTACAGGTATTCATTTCTATTTGAACTCTTAATAATAGAATCCATTTTTCTATGATTATATGGACGTGTGACAAATCCCCAAAAAAAAATGCAAAGAAAAAAATAAATATACGCACAAAAAAGGCAATTTTCAGTGCCTGTTCATCCTTTTTTAAAACTTAACCTCTATGCTTAGCTACCGTTGTATGGGAAAAAATTTTAAAGTGTGAAGAATTTATTTCCCGAAGAAACCCGAAAGCAACATTTGGTAATATTTGAAAAAAAAACACCTCGGTTTTAAATTTTTGCAGATTGTGAGGAGAATCGTTTATAATATATTGACATTCAGGACTTTACTGATTCGCAAGGACGTACATATATAGCAATCTACATTTTCATGAGAAATGCACTCATATTTTTCTCTAGAGAACATGACTAGCTTTTTGCCAACAGCAAGCGCAAAGATTTGCGCTAAATGATATTTAATGATGTTTAAGAATAAAAATGCACTAAAATATTGCTATGTACATATATATACATATATATATGGATGTTCTTGCAGGGAACGTAACAGTTACAACTTTTATTAAAAAAATGCTTTATAAATTCAGAATAACAATTATTTTTCATTCTTATCTAAATATTCTGCAAATAACAGTTATTTTTGATTTTTAAATTATATGTCTCAGATAACAGTTATCGAAGTCTTTTATTTATAAAAGTCATAAATAAAAATCAGTCATTGACCTTTATTTTTTAAATCATACTTATAAAAGTCATTTGTATAAGTCGTAGTAAACTTTTGTTTCCCAACACCATTTTAAGTGCGAAAAATTTAATTTATTATATTGAAGACTTCTATAAATAAAAGTCTTCAATAACTGTTAAGACATATAATATAAAAATCAAAAACAATTGTTATTTTGGATTGAATATATAAAAATCAAAAATAATTGTTATATTTTTTAGTTTTGCATAAAAATTGCAAATAAAAATTTATTTTCAAATTTGAGTCTCGGTAAAAAAAAATCGATTGGTACGTATCACTTAGTTTTCATCAATAACTGTTATGTTCGGTCGCTGTGTTCTTGCCGTGTGTAACCCCCACAAAAAATTAATTGCAACAACCAAAGCTTGAAAAGATTGAGATGTACTATCTTCTATCACACCACATTGATGGAAATTAATGCAAAACATAAAGTGCTTCACATACGAAACGGAAACGTGCCGAAATTAATGGAGTGCAACTATACGATAGGCCTTTTTTAAATACATTCATTTATGTAAATACATATATATACAATGCATACATACATACATACATACATACATACATACATACTTGCATACAAAAATTTCCAAATCATTCACTTTCCGTTACTCTCCAAATAACTGTCTAACTAAATATAAATAACTTACCTTGACAGTTGGCAACAGCCAAAGAAGAAATCAACAGCAGAGCAACTGACAGCTGAAGAAATGTCCGCGAAAATCCTATACGGTGCGTGGACATTTGACGCGTACTGAGAGCTGCAGCAACGGTGATTACTTTTCCACGCTTGCTGTCAGGATTTGTGAAAATTTCGACAAAGTCGAAATTAAAATTATTCAAGTTTTTGTGAAAAATTTGTGTCATTTTGATGCTATTACGGTTAATGAGAGATTGTCAGAGTATGTTGGCTTATTGTTGCAGGCAATCGATAGCAGTGGCGTGGGCTTTGTTTTTCACTTTTCTCACTAAGGTGCTGCAGCAGCTGTCGCATTTACCTTTCGAATACACAAACTGCAAAATGTTGTTGAACTTCTTTTGCATGTAAATGCTGTGTGCGCTTATGTATATATGTAGGTGATGTGCTGCGTCGCTTTGATCCCACAAAGCGGTTTTTTTTTGTGACGACTAACTATGGCGTTGGCGCCACTGCCACACTCAAATACTAGTGCAAATATTTTCGAGTTATTTTTTGTTTGGTTTGCTAGTTAGCCTAGCTAGAGCTGCTGTTTTGTTTTTTGCGTGTCGTGCTTGTGGACAACACTGGCTGCAGTTGCTGTATTTTTTTTTTTTGAATTTTAGGCTTTCGGTTATACAGCTGGTCTACACGTTTCGTTGGTAAATCACTTGCCGCTATTAAATACAATTACAATCGTTATTTTCGTTTGTTTGTTTTCCCATTTCTTGGTTAACTCAAATTTTAGTTGCCGTCGACGATTATGTGAGCAACGTTGGCTGGGCTTTTGCTTTTGGCGCTCGCCTAAACATTTTTAGCCATTCACCAGCTTAATTGAAATGCTCGTGTGTGATCGGGCGCGTAATTAATTTTAACTTGTATTTTATTTTGTTTTTTTTTCTATTTCGGTTGTGTACTATTTGATTACTTGCGCCTGTATTTTTTTACAAAAATTATTGTTTTATTTTTTTTCATAAATTTTTTTCACTTCGCTTGCTGTTACGTCTGCAATGCATACAAACAAACATTCAAGGCTAAATACCTTTAAAGAAATAACAATAAAGTCTCGCGGAGTGCGTGTTTAAATTTTCGCATGCAAAAACTGCATAATTTTAATGAATTTTCTAAACGCAAGGGAATTGAATAGTTATTAAATCATGTTTGCTTGCACTTTTGAATACAATTGCCAGTCGCGCTGCAATGTGAAAATTTCTCAAACTTTGCATTGTACAATAATTCAAGAAAAGTTCGTGCCTTAAGTCTTTCGATTCGTTGTGTGATCTGTCAAGAGACTAATGAATTTACAGGCGTTAAGTTTTTAAATATTTCCCCACGCTTTCTATGGCACCTGCAACGTTGAGTGACAGCTTTATGCTTCACAAAAATTCGAATTGTTGTATGACAGCAAAATTTGCACTAAAAACAGATAAAATATGTTTCCAAAATATAAAAAAAAATTCTTAGTAACAATCATAAATTGTTTTCAAGATTTGTTTTTTCAATACTGGGAAAGCACATGTATATTTTGAAGAAAACAAAAAATAATGCACCACCCTGACCATCATATTAAAAGCCCAAAAAATAATGAAAAATAAATAAATAAAACATTTATTTTTGCAAGTCCGGGTTGCAATTTCATGCCTATAATACTTCTTCCAACAACGTCGCAAATCCAATCCTAATGGCTTAAAAAAGTTGTAATTCGCGCTCGCATTTTTAAAAAGGGTTTTCGAATTTATGTTATGAGCTTTGATGTTGTCAGACAAAAGAAAGCTACGTACCTCTGGAGATCATTAGGAATTAATTTCCAAGAGCATCTCAGGTTAAGTTAAGAAGTGCGAGCCAAAATATTCCTACCTTACCTTCCCACAGTGCTAAGTAGATTGCACATCATCTTCCTCCTGCCAACTGCGGCAGCAGAGTTCAGATAAAATTTCTAACCTTACTGCGTGAATGCCAATCAGGCAATGACCTGTGAAAATTAGTTTCTCAAATTTCCCATGTTGGTGATTTTAAACGTTTTTTTTTTTCAATTTGAAGTTGGCGGTCGCACTCAAAGAAACACGAGAAGGAATTTGATGTAATATAGGCGGTTTTCCGTCGCCCTTTACAAAATTTGGTTTGGATATAAACAGTACGAAGAGTGACACTGAAAATGGCAAAACGCCAACCAAATTTGGCAGATGATGCCGGAAAATCGCTCCCAATACATCACTTCGACTATCCTTTTAGAGCAGGATGTGCCCTGAAGTTGAATGGACGTGCAAACACCAATGCATTTAAACTTTGCCATTGTAATTCACACACTCCCTCTCATACGCAAGACAACAACAGAATCTACCTTGAAGATAACTGTCGCCAATGTGTGCCAACAAAGTATGCGAAAGTGTTGCTGCTTTCACTGCTGCCACTTGGGTATTCGCAAAGGAAACAATAACAAAAATCGAAAAATACGAAACTGTTTATGTATTTTGTATCGCTTAGTGCGAAATACTATGTATGTAAGTGTAACTGTAAATACGGTGAAGGTTGTGCCAGCTGTTAGCATTCTTTGAAGAGCAGCGAGCTCCTATTTTACGAAGTTTAGGTTGAAGTCCTTTTTTTTGTATCCGGTTTACGAAGTATTCCGCTCCATTTAAGGGCTTTATTTTATGCGAAATTTTATGTCAATGAAATCAAGATACTTCTCATAATTTATGAGTCGTTCGGTTTTAAATTTTATATGTATCTCTAAACTAAAAAAGTAACTGAAAGAACAAGACTATAAGTAAACATCATTTAACTTTTAGAGGTGACGTAGAATTGTCAGACAACAACAAGGACCACCAAATATGTACATATATTCACAAAAACGGCTCGTTCAGTTTTTATTCTACAACGTAATTAGATTGTTTTCATGTTTTTTTTTTACTATTATCAATTTGGAAGCAATTTGAAGGTAAGATGGTCCTGCC